GCACTCTAGCTTGGGCAACGGAGTGAGACTCTGTCTCAAAAAAAAAAAAAGAATAGGAGTCAAGGGATCTGCGCTCTAGCGGGGTCCTGCCACTAACCTTCAGCAAGTCACTTAAACTCATGTCTCGATTCCTTCATTGGTAAAATGAGAAAGGTGGATCAGATGAATCCTTCTCAACTGGGAACCAGGGAAGGGTGCACAGGGAAAAACCTGTGCTATGTACAAGGCAGACCACATGCCCCTCAGAGACTCTGCTGCACACTCCTGCCCCAGTCAAGAAGCCCCTCCCCAGCGAGTCACTCTTACTGAGGGGAGTGTGTGGCCTCCGCAGGTACGCTGAAGCAGGCAAGAGTCAGAGGACTCCTAGGATGTCTGAAGTCCATTGCGGCTCTAACATACGAAGAAACATCAGCAAAGCCATGGCAGTACCTTACACTAGGATTTCATGGGACACCGCGCACTATGAGAGTATTATACTCACACCCGAGGGACAGGTGTTGTAGCATCTGAGCTGTCTTCATTTTCTTGCTGGAGAAAAGGAAAACATCAAAGGTAAATGGGCTAAAGAATTCTGGCGAACTTAAGGGCTCTGGAAACCCCATAAGAAAGATCTGATATTTCTTAAAAACCATACCTTACAGAAGGCCTGGTCTTTGGTCTCTAGCCACAGCTGGAAGAGGGCAGCTAATTCCTTTTCACTATCTTGGGACTGGCCTATTAGAGGAAGAAAAAGACAAAAAATAAATATCTAAGGTGTTACTGAGAATCCCAGTTTCTCCTTTCTTGACATACCTATCAAGAGAGACCATATCAGGAGCTGTGGCAACGACCCTTCCATTCGGTGGAAGTCTGCCTGGACCTCTCCTGCATGCCGCCTCATTAAATCATTCACTCAGCAGGTACTTGCTAGGCAGCCACTGTGTGCCAGGCACTGCGCACTAAGCTGGGGTTATTCAGTGAATTCAGTCTCTCCCCTCATGGGGTTTACAGTCAAGTGAGGAAAGAGCACATATTAAATAAAATCAGTTCGAACAGGAGCAGGCATCACAAAGGATATTATGATAGCTTACGCCAGGGAGTTGTCCTATTCTTGCAGGAGAGACAAGGCTTAATGGCTAGTGGGAGGCACGAAGGCGTTTCAAGCACTGGCACAGCAGTTAAGAAGGTCCCAAGGCAGGAAAAAGCTCTCCTTCCCCCGGCCTGCCCAGAAAAAGATAGGTACAGTCCCCGGGCCCTCCTCTTATTGTCACTGCTCACACTCCGACTGCAGCACTTGGCCCACGATGCTTCCTATGTCTCCTGCTCAGGCTAGAAACCATGGGACCAACATCAGCCAGGTTTGCTGGTGTGAAGAGGGCAGCTAACCTTCTCAAAGAGGCTGTTTAGACAACGTTCACCAGGACGTTCATCTTTGTTTTCACCGGTCAATACACAAAACCATCGTACCGCCAGCCACAGAAAGCTGGAGCACTGAGTAGTTGCGACACAAAGCATCTGGCCCGTAAGCTTAAAATACTCATCATCCAGTCCTAGGAGAAAGTCTGCCAACCCCTGATGTAAGTATCCCCACCATGGCTACTCCAGCCCCAGCCAGACAGAGCCAGGAAGCGCCGCGCACAGTCAGCTCTCACGAGTCACCTCGGCTCACACTTAACCCTCATTACTCTGCTAAAGAATCACTCTCACTAAAAAATTCACAATTTCTTCCATGTCCAGAAATCTTTAGACTTTATCTTACTTAATCTTTCAGGAACGACGGAGGCTGACGACCGTTCCCCACTTCCTAGGCTCTTGTCCCTTGGCTTCCAAGACTCAACCGTCCCGGGGCTTTCCTCCGTCTCTGCAGGTGCCTCACGTCCACATGCTTTCCACTGAGCCCCTCTCCCATCGAGTTCCCCAAGGCTCACTCCTCAGCCCTCCTTCCTCCTCACTTAACGCTTCCTCCCAACGCATGCCCTTCACTGTGCACATGCCAACAGCTCTCCACCTTAATTCTCTGGACTGAATTCTAAACCCACACATCCTACTGCCTATTCAACTCCACTTCGATACCTCAAAGGCAGCTCCAATCCAGCACGTCCCAAACAGCACTCGTGATCCGCACCCTCCCCCGAGTCCAGTCCTCCCCAGCCGCCTACCTCAGCAAACAGCACCTTCCTCCACCAGCTACGAACTGAGCAGAAACCATGCCTGGCGCTGCTCTTCCTGCACTCCCCACAGCCGATACACAACCACGTCCTGTGGCTTCCACCACCTAAAACTCAAATTCATCCATTCTCTCCACCGGCTCCAGATTCTCTCTCTCTCACGCAGGTAGGTGTGACCATTTTAAATCGAACCTTCCCCAGCACTGACAGGCACTGTTTCCTCCACCTGGAATACTCCTCCCCTCCGTCTGCCTAGCTCGGTGCTACTCTGCAATCATCTCTGCTCAAATGCCACCTCCTCGGGAAGGCCCTTCCCTGACTCTCCAGACTACGCCAATTCCTAATAAACTCTCATCCTTTCTGATACTTCTCCTTTACAGAAATGATCAGTTCGTTATTTAATCTGAATATTTGTTCCCCAAAGAGACCTTAAGCCAGATGATGGGAGCGCTCTGACTTGGAAACCCTTATATCCCCCCAGATACCTAGAAGCAGAA